ACATACAGACACACTTTATGCACAAAAAGTGGGCATCTACCTTGCAGGGGAAAAGAACTGCCAAATAAACATAGATGGCAACAAACATACTCAAAATATATTATTTGGTAAATATGCTGTATGTATGTATATTGCACTTGTGATGTATCAGCTAGCATATCGGGCGGGACTTGGGTAACATTAATGATTAAAAGAGACAAAATTCTACACTTATGGAGCTTTCATTATCATGGGAGGAGACAATTAGAAGCTGGTAAGTGTTATGGGAAATAAAGCAAAATGGGGGCAGAGGAGGGAGGGAGGGGTTGCAATTTAAGAGAGGGAGGTCAGAGTGGGCCTTCCTGTGAAGATAACATTGATGTTGAGCTATTGGGGCTTTGCATGCACTACATTTTCCAATGGGGAACATGGGAAAGGAAACCAGAGTAGAAATCCCCGTTGGCCTGCTGACTTGAAGAATGCGAGGATTTCCTTCGCTGTAACGTGTGTGAAGATAGAGATGAGTTTAGAAGAGTGACGTGTTGCAGACGGCCCCTTCGATTTTGTTCAAATCGCACAAGCATGTTCCTAGCGCATACTGGGCACCCCTGGCCTTCCCGAGCGGGGATGCTGAGCACCGCCCACCTGGCCTGTGACGGATGCAGGTGTCCTCTCTGTGACTTTCCCATGTGTTAGGAACGGTCTTCCGGGCCACGTCCAGCTGTTTGCCCCTTTGTACTGGCCCCTGCCTGAGTGACTGTGAGTTCTACAGAGGATTTAGGGCTAAGCCTAAATTAATTTAAACCCAATAGCATGAGCATTCAGTTTCTCTGTCGTAGTAGCAATTTACATGCTAGTAGCCAGGCTTGGGTAATGGCTACCATGTCAGCAGAGATCTCTACTAGAGCAGAAAGCTCTACTAGTGTTTGCCACTTGATGGTGTTGATGACATCATGCGTACAGACATGCACATACACATACATGTGCACATATAGACGTGTACTTATGTGTCATTTTCTGTGTCTGTGGTGATGCCATCAGCTTTCTGGCCTATCTTCTGTTGATGTGTTGTGTCTCATTGTTTACATGGCTAAATACTGGTTCTGAGTTTTCTTAAGAGAAAGTCAGAGAGGAACGCTCGTATACATCCAATGTGGGCACGTTAGTTCTTGGGATTTGTGTGCGGATTCATATTTCAGCCAGGCCTTGCTCAGTGCTGATGGCTTTGCCGCTGTGTTCCGGGTGGCGAGAAAACCAGATCACCGAGTTATTGTGGGAGGAAGGCTCTCAGACTACACACCCATGGAAAATGCTTTATTTACTTATTTTTATTATAGTTTTATTGACATGTGGTTCACATATCAGGCACTTCCGTAGTTTATTCGTGTTAAAAAGAGTTGTACAGTCATCTCTATAATCAGTTATAGAAATGCTTTAGAAATGCATAGAAATGTCAATTATGCCTTATTTTGAGTAGGACAGTCAATTAACACTTGTTAACTAACTGCCTATACATAGGCTAAGCACTATGGAATCAACCAAAGTGAACACCCTGGAGAGTCAACCAGAAAGGAACATGGCACAAGGCCCTGAGGAGATCACAGTTTAAGGGGCGAAAAGAACCAGGGATAGACAGAATTTCATTTATTTAGTGCCCAGGAAGAA